CATCCTCCATAGTCCATAGCTTTGGGCTACATCCAGTTTAGTTTTCATAACTTGGGAAATAAGGCTCCCGTTGCTTCCTCAGTGAAAGAAAGTATTTCCTTATATGCAACACAAAATATTCCCTTTGCTCTCTTTCACAATCTTATAGTTGTCTTTAACCAGTTCTTACCACCTCCTGCTTACGCCAATCAAACATTTGGAGGGTAGTTACCCGATTGACACCCACCGCTCCCTTCTTAGTTGTCATTTGATCAGGCTATTCATATTTCATATTTTTCGACTTACTCTCCTGTTTCTCCGTTTCTTTTCCTTCTCCAAATTTTCTCCTGGTGGTGAAATCATTCCAGCAAAGAGATATCCAGAACTCAGTGTCACGTTTTCAGTGTGGTTAAGTCGGTGAATTTGAAAAGATTTCAGAAGATTTCAAAGAAACATTGAACATAATCTAACTGTACAGTTGACAGTGTTCCCCAAAACAGCAATTCCCTTGCCAGATCCTTGATAATAACATGGTGTGAATGTTGATGTCAGTTTTCTATTCAGTGGATTGCTGTTGAAAAACCTTGTTTGTATGCTATTTCTCAGAACACTGCCCATCCTAATAACTGAGCTGGATGCATAAAATAAAAGATTATTTTGGTGAACAAACGGCACAATTCATTTTCCTGTTAATTAATGGAGCTTTAGTATTATCCATGAACTGTCTGATAAAGGACCATGGGGAATAGTATGGAAATATTCTTGAATCCCAGGCATTTCAAGAATTTTTGCATAGGAGATTCATCCAAAAAATTGTGCTACAAAGTGCAGTGTTCACCACTGGCTATTCCAATATTGAAAACATTTCAGTCATCAGCAAGTAGAAAGGATGTCAGGACTGATTGCTTTATGTTTCACAAATAGAAAAGGTTTAAATCTTTTGGACAATGTACAGCTACACCAGCTTTATTAATAATATAAAGCATCTGTATGCTTGTAGGGCACCTTTCCAATTAATTGAACCTCAAATGCCAAGAACTCTTAAAGTTAAATGATAAATCTCAGAAGTGGGAAGAAGCCTGAGAGCAATAAGTTGTCTCAAACATCCATGGTTTTCGTTTAAGTGGGTTTTCACCACTCAAATTTCAATTTGGGTCTCAGACTAAGGCATTTTCAACCAGGAGTGGTTAGATGAGAAGGAAAAAGAGCACTCAATAGATGAGTAAATGCAAAAGGGACTAAACTTCATATCTCTTATATTACCATGAATCTAAAGTTAACCTTCCATCTTCAGTGGACTTACTCTTATGTCATGCTTTGAGGTCTGGCCTGAGATCTATTTGGTAGTAAGTAAAATGGCAACATTACAGAAGATTGACATGAGCTGAAGGCACAGTGTTTGAGGGGAGAGAGGGTTGCATGGCTCATGCAGCCTACCTTTGTGATTTTGTCATGAGTTTCCTGATATGCGTTTTCTGTTTCTTGTCATTTTTGTTTTTCCCCTAAAGCTTCAACTCCTTACAAGAGATGACTGACAATTTCTGACTTTTTATAACTAGCAAAATGCATATGTCTAAGCTACATGATTCAGGAGAAAAATCTAAAAACACGATCCAACTACCTCTAAGAGGTAAATAAAAATAAGTAAAGACCACCCAAAATAAGTATACATATCTATTTTAATGTACTGATTTTTAAGCCAGTCTTCTGATTTTTGGTGGTTGATGCATGAGTTTAAGAACTTGGGGGCTAACAACTGTTTCCACATCTTTTTTTTCTTGAAATCTTGGATCTTGACTTAGATGTCCCTGGAATAGGAAGATTTTGAGTCTGATTATTTGTTTAAGACTTAAGAGACATCTAGCAATGTGATAATTTGGTGTTACAGGGAATTTTCAGTCCCATCCAGTGAAGGGTTAAAATTAAAACTACGGACTTAGGATGAGCAAGGGGAAGAAGGAAAGGGGCAGGCAAAGGGCTTGGGAAAAGACCGAAGGTGAGGAGAGACCAGCTCTGTCTGGTCTTCTGTGTGCATTTGGGTTGTTGTTGTTGTGTGTGTGTGTGTGTAGCTTTCATTCGCTATCCAGAAAGCAGTGTGATCATTAACGCTTCAGTCTCAGGGCTTTCTTAATCCTCCTGGGAAACTGGATGCTTACTCCTTACAATGGGCTAGAGCTCCGGCTTGTCTCTGTAATAAGGTAAACTTTCTCCCATCTCAGTCTCCAGAAAGCAAAGCCCACAGGGCAGGGTTAAAGGGCACACTCCTGTTGACGATCCTTGACCCTTTTCTATGAGATTCCCCAGGCTGGATAGAGCCAGTTGCTTCTTATCCTCACTCCTCAGGGCCACAGTGTTTGGATGGCTTGTGGAATTTACCTTGCTTGCCAAAAACTGAATGGAGCGTTGGAATTGTTTTTCCTCTTGTGCACCTAAATTCAATTTTCTAGTCCCACACCTGGCCATATTTGTGCACTGTGGATGTGTGAGTAGGTGTGCATAGAGCATGTTCAGTCAACTCTGCACTGGCTGGGTGCATATGCATGTACCTGAGCATATGTCTAGGAAGTTGTTGGGGAGAGGAAAGGCCACAGGTTAGGCATTATCCAGTCCCCTTTCCAGTGCTCCTTTTTGAAACTGAGCTGCTGCCCCTTGCACTTAATAGTCATTGGATAAAATGGATGGCGAGAGCTGCAGATGTTTCTTCCCCATTGGAGTTAGTGGTCCAGACTACAAGCCAGGGCCTGTTTCTTTTCATCTTAGTAGTTACCTCACTAAGCCATATAGGACACATCTACACAAGATGCTACATCACCATAGCGATGAGCTACTGGGACGCAGCTCATCACTATGGCAACATAGCATCGATGGGCACTAACTGTGACACCACCACTACTGCGCAGTAGCAACGGGCTACTGCGCAGTAGCTTGTTGCTACTGTGCAGTAGGGTTGGAAATGACCCATGCGCCACCAGAACTGCATGCTACCAGCAGTTACTGTACAGTCATATTGTACTTGCGAAAGCAAGTACTAAATCACTGCGCAGTAACAACAGCGCAGTGGGGCATACGTGTAGACACACCCACACTTTCTGCTCTCTTCCTTCTGGTCCCATTCCCACATATTGCCCTCTCTGCTACCCAAGGGACCAGCACTAAAAGGAGCGCTGAAGAAGCACCTGGGAATGCCTAAATTGTGGTACTGGTATTTAGAGTAATGTGTGGGGAAGTCATGAGGATCCAGGTTCCTCCTCTAGGTTGAGGGGCCTAATAGCAGAGTCTGCTTCTTTCTGGGAAGTTGCCTTATCAGTCAGCTCTTGGGACTAAAACACAGGAGGGCCTCCCCGACCTGCTAGTCTCAGGTTTCTGGCTAGCTATACCTTCTCGATTTGGATGCATGCATACATCCAGAATGGGTTAGCGTGCATAGCTGCCTGTCCAGTGTGTAGCTTATTGCACAGGCTCAGTCTATGTGCGCACACATATGTGTCCAGAGTGCATGGTAATAGAATTGCAACTTGTAAGTGCCTAAAATGCTACTTGTATGTATGGCTAGAAAGCTGCCATCTAGATATTCAAAGAAAAATTGAATTGCACTGCTAGATGTTGCCACAGGATTCCAGGCTATTTTCCCATTTGGTCAAGCATTGTACTTCCAGCTGCACTTGATAAGATGAGTTCTCCATCCAGCCTGGCATTTCATTTTCAGTGATAATAACCTTCCATACAGAGACCTGAAGTAGCAATGAGCGGATCAGGTCTGTGAAAAAAACCCCAATGGTTAAAAAGCCAGGGGTCAAGCCCCACAAAATCATGAGGTTAGCTTAAAATTATGGGTTGTTTTTTTTAACTATATACTTTGGGCACCTCCTAGATTTTGAAATGTTATGGTGTTCTCACATTGTACTTTTAAATTGTCCTCTGCATCCAGGAGGGTTACAATATTCCTGTTGAAAAAAAGAAAAAGCTAAAAAAAAGGCTGTAATTTTCATGTCAGCACATGAGTCCATGAACTGGGGCTAGATAGAAAAGAAGCAAAAAAATATCACAAGGCTTGGGGTAAAGTTGTGAAAACATGCTTTCATGTCCAGGAAATTGTTCTCAGGGCACGAGTGTGCCATTGGTGGAGTCCAGGGGACTGTGTGTATGCAAATTCTTTAGTTCATTTCAAAGAACTTGACAAAATAACCAAGAACCCGGAGGAAGTGGTGGATACTGCCTGCCAAGGACATTCTTTTTTACCTGGATCTTGATTGGTAACACACTTACTCTGTTTCCATTTCTCCAAGCAGGCTGCAAGATTTCATTTTTTAAAAATGTTCATGCTCATCATTACCAGCAAAAAAAAGGATTACTCATTTTAACTTTTGATACTTTAAATCTTCTGGATGCTTGTCTATGGCAAAAGCATTACAGCTTAGCACTCACTTCTTTAATTTTAGTTCCAACAGCTTTAGGGATATGGTGGGGGATTTTTCCCTTATCTCCTTTTCTTTCCTGCTTGCTAAGGGGTAATCTAGGTTTCCATTTGAAGAAAAACAATTTTTATGGTGATTTCTAAGAATAAAGGGAGGTGCTGACTGGCATTTTAGCTCCCAAGAGAATTGGACTAGGGATAACAGAGGTCTATACTGGCGAGTAATTCAGCCTCCACATACTTTGCGCTGACATGATTTCAGACAAAGAAACTCTGTCTTCATCCATAGGCAACACAAGTTGAAACACTTTGCTTGTCCTTTATTACAAAGCATAGCTTCCCTATCTCCTCTCCTTCCCTGTGCTACCACCATGTGGCCTTATGTCAGTGCTGCAAGAAATGAACTCCCTGTTCCTTTTATTGTTTCACTGAGCTTGTGAGTAATAAGTAATTCAAGAGAACGGATATAGGCCCTGCCTTTCAGGAAAGTAGCTAAGCAGGAGGGTTGTTACTGCTTCCGAAACATGACCTTCATCCTGAAGAATTCAATTCCAGAGGGTAGAGCATGTGCCAATGCCATTTAAGAGTTGCTCTCTTTTGTTTGCAGAATATGGGAATCACCACTTCTCCAGGCTGCCAAAGAGAATGATCTCCGGGCTATCAAGAAGCTGCTTGCTGATGGCTCTTGTGATGTCTACCAGAGAGGTACATGGGCTCCCATGTTCCTGAACCCTACCAATTACTCCCCCACACCCCCCCCCCCCCCCCCCCCCAGCACTGCTAGCCCAAGTCTGTGGTTATTTGCTCTCAGCGTGCTCTTGGACTGTTGCTGACTCCATGGTGATGTGGATGGAAACCACATCCTCCTCATAGATCCAATAAGAACCACTTGGCTGTGTGTCTTAGGCCCCAAACTGCCAAGCAGCAAGGGCTGGGATTGCTCCCTGGGTCCAGCAGTGCTTCCTTCATTACTCTAGGGAGGTTTTTCCACATTGAACACAGCCGTTCCTTTTCAGTTGTATTACACTTGTGCCTAGATGTCCTGTCCCAGAGCCATGGTCCAGTGTATTAATTACTGTACTGCCAGAATAAAACCCAGACACAGAGAGCTTACAGCCTAACCAACAAGGGAGAGAACGGGCAGGGAGTGGGACAGAGACAGAAGCGAGAGAAATGACAATCCAAAGTCACACATCAGGTCAGTGGAGGAGCCATGAAAGCACCCAGGTCACATGGGTCCTCCTACCTGAACGATCTTCTCAGCTTTGCTCTAGGCAGCTGAAGGCATGCTTCTCTCCCACTCCCTGTCTAGGTGCAGTGGGGGAAACAGCCCTCCATGTGGCTGCCTTATATGATAACGTGGAGGTTGCTCAAGCTCTGCTGGAAGCCGCTCCAGACCTCATCAATGAGAGGATGACATCAGAGCTCTATGACGGTAAGCAACCCTGGGTGCACCTTGATGCACGTGCAGACTGACTCACAGCTGACAGGCTGTGTTCCCTGCTGAATCAGCTGGACACACAAAGTGATGACAAGGGCTTTGAAGTCCCGTGTGTGCTAAATAGGGATTATGCTGTGTTTTTGTCCAGGACTTGTTGTTTAAGAAGTGAATTCTCCCTTCTCTTTGCATAGCAACTTAGTGGAAGAGCTGGCCACTGGCTTTCAGGTACCCAGACAAAGATGGCAAATGATCATATTTTCTATAAATTCTAGTGGTTGAAGGGCACAGACTCAATGCTAGGAAATAGAGCCAGCCCTGAAAGAATAAGAATAACTTCATATATAGCCAATTTAAAGTAGGCCGCTCAACAAAGGCAGCTTTCACTTCCAAAATAATAAGAAGGTTTTTTTGTTGGGTTTTTTTTTTATCAGCCTCAGGCTGGAGAACTGGAGTGGATATCCTGTAGGCACAGCTTAGTGGACTATTTATTTCCTCTAAGGGGACTGTCACTACACTTCCCAAATGAGTGTGGCCCCCAATCACAATCCTCATCCACATTCAGGAGATTTTTCTGTCTCTCCCATTGAAAAAATACAGCTTGTGATCTCCCCAGGCCAGTGGCAGAACATCTTCTGGCACTCATTACATTTCACACACATGCACAGGGTGGAACTGGTTGCCAGTTTTGGGGTCTGCTATCTAATGAGAGAATCTCCCCAAACATGTGTTTTATTTGTATGTGTGTGTGTTACAGGCCAGACAGCTCTCCATATCGCCGCCGTGAATCAGAACATAAACTTGGTGAAGATTTTGCTCAAAAAGGGAGCCAATGCCTCTGCACCACGAGCTACTGGACTTTTTTTCAGATGCAGCAGTCATAATCTTATCTACTTTGGTATGGCCCTGTCAGTAGTCCCCAGTAACCTCTTTCTTTCCCTGTTATCCTGACAGTGGTAGGCCTGGAGGCCAAAGTGTGTCAAAGGCATGGGCTGGTATTGTGTACTATGCCTGCCTTACCCCAGATAGATCTCTAGTCTCCAGGCGTGTAAATGACCAGGGTTTTCCAGGCACCTAAAATAAAACTAATTTTATGTGCAAAACATCCTAGCAATCCATTGGCAGTCAGTGATATTTCTCCAAATTCTCATCTAGCAAAAGAGCATCCCTCCTAAAAGCCTGTTTCCCCTGTGACACCATCTGAATGGATATGACTGTGACAGTATTTGAATGTAGGCATGAAGGAATGGTTTCCCCTTTAGCCACAGGATCTTTTGTGGGTGGAACTATCGAGCTTCTGGGGAACTCTCTTCCTTCAGTGACCAATATGAATAGGTTTCCTCCAATTTATCCCAGTCTGACCTGCCTGCTTCTTTACCTAGGATCTTAATCTTGTTTTCATGCTGTTCCTTCCTCTTCAGGGGAGCACGTTTTATCTTTTGCTGCCTGTGTGGGAAGCGAGGAGATTGTGCGCCTACTCATTGAACATGGAGCCAACATCCGGGCACAAGACTCTCTGGGTAAGAAATCTGGCAGGCCAGGTGAATCCTATATTGCCAAGTTTCACCTCTTTTATTCAGGTTCTGCCATGCATGTACATCTATATGCATACTAAGCAACTGAGTTACCTTAGTTAACTAAGTACACCCATACACATACTGAGCAACTGAGCAACTTAATTACTGAGCAACTAAGCAAAGAGTTACCTTATTCCACAAGCAAGCAGGCTCTGGAGTAAAAGGTACTAGGGAATTTCAAACAATGAAAATTACTTCAATCAGTTTTACTCTCATTAACACGGCTAATCAATAATTATTTCCCTTACACAGCAATTATTCTAGTCTATATCTTTTATCATGACCCTTGTGTTGCCTTCTCTATAGGAAACACCATCCTCCACATCCTGGTTCTCCAACCCAATAAGACCTTTGCCTGCCAGATGTACAACCTGATCCTCTCCTATGACAAGCCAGAAGAAGGTCTAGGGTCCCTGGAATCTATTCCAAACAATGAAGGCCTCACTCCATTTAAACTGGCCGGAGTTGAGGGCAACACTGTGGTGAGTTCATTCCTAACCAAGTCAGCTCTTTCTAGTAGAGGACATTAGAAAACAGTTCCAGCCTAAGGCAAGCAGAATCCAAATATCCTACTAATCCATTAGAAAAGAAATGTCAAATTTTCTCTTCCCTCCTTTATTTGTAGTTACAGAGAAAATCCAAAATGCTATGTTGGAATTTTCTTAGTTCTTATATGCAAGAAGTTGCATGCTGATTTTTAACAAAGGGAGATTTTTTTCTCAACAGTTTGTTAGACATTTGAGTTAAATAAATGTTACTAAAAAAATAAAACTCCCAGCATGATCCAAATTCCCTTCTCTCAGTTACCCAGATATCATTACTCACAATATCAAGCACATGCCTGTTCTTTAGTCATCCACAGTTTTCCAAGACAAACAGTGTACAAAGAAGTGAGTTTCTAACTTAAAAACCTAGAAAAAGATAACAATAACAAAACAATAACAAAACCCAATCATACCAGAATAGGCCATTGTTCTTTTTCAGAATAGCAGCTACCCTTTGTGCTCCTACTTAAATGTACGTGAAATATCAGTGACAAAAAATGAAACTGGTGGGAGGGGGGACCATAGTTTTTTACATTTAATTTACAAATGAGCTTGTTTTACCCCCATAACAGCGTTGTTTTATGATTTTTTTGCTTTAAAGTGGACACAAGAGAGGAGAGGACCTCCAAAATTGTTCACATTCAGAATGATGAGCATCATGTTTCTTGTGTGCAAGCCAGCCTTTTTGTCACTGTTACAGAAAAGCACACTTTTGAATTATGCTGAAACTGCAAAAATATATATTTGCAGAGAATCATTTTTAATTTGTTTGGCATATTTGCAGTATGCATTGATTGACTGCTGGATCGTGATCTAATCCCCCTATCCTTTTTTTGCTCCTCAGATGTTTCAGCACCTGATGCAGAAGCGAAAGCACACTCTGTGGTCCTTTGGCCCCATAACCTCTGTTCTCTATGACCTCACAGAGATTGACTCTTGCGGAGAAGATCAGTCCTTCCTCGAGCTCATTGTCTCTACCAAGAAGAGAGAGGTACAGTGAGCATCAGTTACTTTCTCTGTGTGGAAAATGGTGGTTATAAAAGGAGGAACAACAACTGCACGTTGAAGGTTCCAGCTGTGCTGATATTCCACGCCACCCACGGGGCTGGCACTTTTTGGCCATTTGATGCAAAGAATAGATGAAAGGTAGCAATCCTTTGACAGCACAGCTAATATGGTTCCCTCACCGCATTTCACCATAGTTTTACATTTTATGAGGAAGGGGAAAGAGATTAGTTTTAAACCCCATGCCACAAAGACAGTGCCTGAGGCTGTTTACACCACAGGAGGTGACAATACTGACTCAGAAGAAGGCTCTCTCCTCTCTCTGATTCTGTAGATGTTTAGATGGCAAGTACTTGCCTGTAGCCATGAACCTATGTGCCTACCTCTCAGGGATGTTGTGACGTCACTGACGTTCTTTGTGATCCTGTGCCTCTTCCAGCTCCTACTTTGGACGTGATATAGTTAAAGCAAACGAATAACAAGGAATAAATAATGAATGAATCTTTCGAATATCTGAATGAAATGCTTTGTGGGCCACAGAATTGTGTTTGCTATCCATTTCTAATCAAATTTGGAAAGATTTACCACAATTAAGGTCATAACAATGCCTAAGACAGAGGACTCTTGTACTTCAGTGTGTATGGCACTGCGCTACAATCTCCCATGCCCGAAGATTGCTTCAAGTCCTTCCTAGAAACACAGCAGGTGTTATTCTCTGGCTGTATCTGCAAGGAGCTGCCAAAACTCAAACTAATTGTAAATGAGGTAAAGAGCCATAACCCAGCTCCCTGTTTGAGAATGCACTCATTCACCTATAACTAGCGATCAGCAAACCTACTCCAAACTCATTTGCCTGGGGGAGGTGATTAACCTCACCAACCTTGAATACAGACTTCGAGAGCAACCAAATAAATTCCCTGAGGTTCACCATCTCTGAGGTTTATACGTGGATAAGCTGCAAGTGAAATGATATCATGGGCTAAATGTTCTGTAAAAACCACATTCAACTGGTTTTCACTCCTGGTTTAGTGTATTGTGGGTGACACCTCTAGGGATGGTATGCCTTGGCTTGTGAAGCACTTTGCTTCACCGTAAACACACCACCCACAGACCTAATTCCACTGCCAGGTAGTTGAGTGATCTTTCTGCTGAAGCCAATGGAAGCTTTTTAATATAGTGGAAAGTACAGCAGAACCGCAAGAGCCATTTTTTCAGCTGGAGTAAATCAGTACAACTCCATGAACTTCAGCTGAATTATCCCGATTGACACCAGCTGAGGACCAAACCATAGGCTGCTACATGAAACTGTGGAAGAAAACTAACCTCTCTGAGAATCTTTTGGCTTGTTATTTCCAGTCAAATAGATAAAATGCCTCTGTATTACATACCCTTAAACAAAAAGCATACAGCATTTAACAGAGTAATAGATTTTCTATGGGTTTCGTTGTATTCAGAGAAAGCCTGTTCTTCCTTCACGTATTTTAAATGACCGTATACAAGTCTAAAGCAAGGAGATATATTCGTTAACACATTCTATCAACTGATATAAAAAAATCAATAGCAAATGTCTCATTTTCTATTAAATTGGATAAAACATGTACAGTCATGTCTATAGAATCCTTTTGGTCTCGTGTGTTTTGAATTCTGTGGGTTTTTCCTATAAGGGTATGTGCCAATGCATTCTCATGGAAGAGCTGTCTCTGACTTGGAGCCTGTGCAACAAAAGATATTAGTATCGATTGCATGAAAAGCTGTAATTGATGTTCTCAGTCCATACCCATGACAGATCTATACTGTTTTTCTTTTCCTTCTGTTGTCACAGCTTTGACTGCACTTTGTATATCTGCAGACGCACTATGAGCGTTATGGAAAATATAACGTAGGAAAATAAATAAAAAATCCCTACAGTGTTACTTACACTCATGCAGTTAAGACATAAGTGAAAACATTGCTATGTACTTGTTTGATATTTTCATGTATAGAAATTCCTTGACTGATGAGCAAATGAGCCAATCCCTTTATATAGTTAACACCTCTTTCTCCCTCTCTCTCTCTTTTTTCCCCTTGAAGCTGTTTATCTTGTGCTGTCTTTCCTAATCAACTGTATTCAGTGCCTTCTCCCTTTCTTTTTCTGAGGGAGATAATGGCTTAGTTATGACAAAACCATTGATATGAAAACTTCAGAAATCTGCTAAGGCAAGCATCGACCTTTCACCCTTCCCCTCATGTAGTGAGCCCCCTTCAAAATTTACTTCTGACATCCTCAAAATCAAAGGTGTCCAGAGAGAGTACTCCAGCCACCACATTTCCCTCTGGAGACCCCATTTCTCCCTTCCTCGCTTCCCCCACCTAATACAGTATTCCTTGGCAAAGCAGAGTTTTCTCTCACAGCATGGTCTGCAGCACTTGTTCAGTGTTATTACAAAGGGTGCAAGTGACTGTTGTGACCATTTCTTGCAGCCAACTATTCCACGTACGTTTGGCCCCCTACCCATTGGCAAAAGGCTTGCTGATGAACAGGATCGATAGCATCCCACCTGCAGTCATAAAAATAACCTGGGCTGGTAGAATAGCACTTCCAATCTGAGGAGTGCTGGGCAGTTTGCAACCATTAGAGAAGCGCCGGCCAGATATCTGAAAGAACTCAGCAGCAAACACCTCCTAATGTTTTCTCTTGTACCATGTGCTATTCAGTTTCATATAGTGCCCTCCTTGCAGCATGCGAATGCTTCCCCATAGGGCAGTAAGAAGCAGAACCAACACCAGAAACAGATGTTCCTTCTCTCCCATTCTCTCCCCTCGGGGATAAGAGCTGCATGTGCAGTGCTTTTGTTCCAGTAAGGCTCAGGGTGGGCGTTTTGCTTGGGGGATAGGAATGATTTTGTTTGTTTGGTTAAACACACACATTACTATTAAGTTGCATTAGAAATGTGAAATCAAAAAGGAACTTTGTCCTTGGAGGAGTGAGACTTGTGTTTTTTCTTCCACTGGAAGAGTGTTCAGTGGTCTCAAAGTGACCCTGGAGAAGTCTCTGTCTCCTGCAAAGGCGAGCTTTCCCTTGATTTCCACTGTGCCTGAGAAGAAGCATTGTCAGACATGGTATTTCATCCCTCAGCAGTCATTAGTGCTTTAGATTTGCTGGTTCCAGGCCGAACTGTATACCTGAAGAAAGGGCCCAAGACCAGAAACCTGATTCAATACCCCATGGAAAGGGAGCATAAACAGTAACTGCTATAGCAGTCACATGTGTGGCTGAGGAGATGTGCTACAGCTTTCGCAATGGCAGCTGCTGGGTGGTGGCCATTTCATTTAGATGCTTTAATGGGGATTAAGGAATCTGAAAATCTCTCCAAGCCACTCAGCCCCCTAGTGCAGGGGTTGGTAACCTATGGCCTGAGGGCCAGATCTGGCCCATGGAGCCACTGGATCTGGCCCATGGAGTCAGGAGTTTTACCGAAGCATGCATCAGGGCGTGGGGTGGTAAGATGCACCAGGGCCAGGTATCTGAGAGCTGCACCTGCCCTGCCCCTACTTTTCCCCATCCTGTAGCTGTAGTCCAGGCATAGCTCCTCACTGCCTAATGCACGAATAGGCTCCCCACTGTTGTACCCATTGCTGATGTGCTGCCAAAGCCCCCCCAGCCTGTGTTGGACTGGAGCCAAATTGTTCCCAAAGGTTGCCAGCTACTGCCTTAGTGAGTTGAAATGGTGTCATCCCTATTATTTTGTCTTTAGGATTATATGAACACTTGTCTGGGATGGTTTAGATAGGGATGATTCTGCCCTGAGCAGGAGGTTGAATCAGATGGCCTCTGGAGGCCATGGCTCTACTTTTCTATGACTCTATGATGATATAGAGCAAAAAAAATGAAGCTAGGGCACAGTAAGGACAGAAATTTTCAACCTTGGTGACACGTTTTCCAGAAACATATTTCCCACGACGCCAAGTGAAGTCAGTAAGAGCACTTTTGGAAATAAGACTATGCATTTAAATTTCTAAGGTTACACAGACTAGTCTTGACATTTTGACTTTGGTAAGGACATATGGGAAATCAGTGCCACTGGTGGAAATAGGACCCTGGTTTCCTGACTTGCAATCCTGTGACTGGAGAACATTTGGAAGGGGAAGAGTGCTGGTATCTAACGTACCCCAGAGTTTTATTTGGCTTGTTCGGGTCAGCCTTCATAGCAGCTTGCGCTGACAGGAGAAAAAGATTCACGAACATGAGTGAGAGTTGTGCACCCTATGAACCTGCAGAATGGTTCAGAAGGTTCATGAACTCTCTGACACCCTGAGGCTAGCCCATCCCTACTATATACCTGCTGTATGTTTTGTGACTTGTCTTGTAAAAAGCATTGGGACCTTTCTATAGGACACTATAAAATGCAATTTATTGCTATTTTAAAGAATACAATTTCTTTTCTGCAGTGTCTCCTCACAGGTTATTAAGAGTAGGCGAGTTTGCTTTGTTGTTGTGTCTGTGGACTCCATGCACTTTAGAAACTGCAAACCTCCCTCTCCGTCAAACATGCACACACACCTCATAAATGCACACAGCATCAAGCCTATGACACTAAATGACAGAAAAAAAAATCCAGCCACCTAATACACCCTGCTGGCAATGCAGAATGTTTCCCACAGTATATTTTCTTAGCATTTTACCCAGTCCTCTTATTGTCAGCTCAAGTTAATCCAAACTAACCCAGGAACTCTCTTCTGTATGAAAACAATTGCGTGTCCTGGTGCTGAGATGACTTTGGAGAGATTAGCTTGGGCTCAAGTCCTTCCAGGAAACAGTACAGACAATACCTAGAAGCAGGTGTTTCATACAGCTAATAACCTTACCCTCCCCCTTCTCTTTCTGTCTCTCATTTAGGCCCGGCAGATCTTAGACCTGACGCCTGTGAAGGAGCTTGTGAACCTGAAGTGGAATTTGTACGGGCGGCCCTATTTTTGTTTCCTGGCCTTTCTCTATGTGCTTTACATTATTTGCTTCACCATGTGCTGTGTCTACCGGCCACTGAAAGCTCGGACCAGCAACAGAACCAGCGACAGGGACAACACGATCTATGTCCAGAAAATGCTGCAGGTGCGTTGACTGAAGGCCACATGGGAAGGGGCTGGAGGCTCCATCCTGACCTCAACCACAGGGGCCCTCATATCTCTGAATCCAAGCCATGGCAGCTATGCCTCTATTTATCTCCATCATCCCCATCTATTCTTCAGCGACAGATTACTGATGAGGAATTCTCCATGATCTGGTGGCTCCAGGACTCAAGCTGGGCCAGTATAGTTCTTATAGAATCATAGAATCATAGAAAAATTAAGGTTGGAAGGGACCTCAGGAGGTCATCTAGTCCAGCTCCCTGCTCAAAGCAGGACCATCCCCAGCTATATCATATTAGTCAAGGCTTTGTCTACGCAGGTTTTAAAAATATTTAAGGGTGGAGATTCTACAAACTCCCTGGGTAACCTTTAACAGTGCTTTACTACCGTCCTTGTGAGAAAGTTTTTTTTTCTGATTATCTAATCTAAACTTCCCTTGATGCAACTTGAGACCATTGCTCCTTGTTCTGTTATCTGCGAGAACAGTCCAGCTCCATCCTCTTTGGAACCACCCTTCTGGTAATTGCAGGCTGATATTAAATCCCCACTCAGTTTTCTCTTCTCCAGACTAATAAGCTCTTTTCCCTTCATCTCTCCTCATAAATCATGTTCTCCAGTCCCCAAACCATTTTCGTTGTCCTCACTGGACTCACTCCAATTTGTCCACATCCTTTCTGTGGTGAGGGGCCCAAAACTGGATGCATCACAGTTTGTGCCTGCCGATGCTACGTTGCCTTCGCAATAAGCTATGTTGCTATAGCTCATCGCTCCGACGATGTAACATCTTGTGTAGATGCTTCCAGTGTTGGCTCATATTCAGCTTATTTTCCACTGTGACCCCTAGGTCCTTTTCTGCAGAGCTGCTGCTTAGCCAGTCAGTCCCCAGTCTGTAGCAGTGCATGAGATTGTTCTGTTCCTCTGTCCTAACCAGTTGGGTCACTTTCTTTCTTTCTTTCTTTCTTTCTTTCTTTCAGGAATCTTATGTGACATATGAGGATCAGCTGAGGCTGGTAGGGGAGCTGGTCACTGTGATCGGAGCTGTAGTGATACTGATCCTGGAGGTGAGGAGAACAGTGAGCCACCAGAACCAGGAGTGGGGTGGGAAGTAATCAAGGTAGAATCACTTCAGCTAAATACACTGGCCTGTTTTGGTGACCCAGTAAGGCCTGTTCTCTGGATTTAAGTGCCTGAGTAAAGTCCTTTTGTGCACAGTACTGGCAAATATACTTTTGGTGAGACTGAATCCATGGCCACTTGTCAGTGAGGACTCTGAGCATTTCTGGGAGGAGTTAGAGAGATGCTGGTCCCGGCATCCTTCACATCATGAAGTTATCCCCTTTGACTATCCAAGTTGTTCTGAATGGATCTGGGCTGTAGTACAATGCCCTGTGTTCCTAAACATCATCTTCATTTCTCCACATGGATGGCTGAGTTTTAGAGCTGCATGAAATCATGTAGTGTGGCTTGTTGTTATCTTGAGATCAATGAACGAGCAGAATTTGGTGAAGATTAGGCATTATTATTCTGAATTCCTCCTTTTGTGGCAACTGGCTGAGTCCCAAACTAAAAGAGCATGTCTCTTTTAGATTCCAGATATCCTCAGAGTTGGAGCCACCAAGTATTTTGGGCAAACCATCCTGGGAGGTCCTTTCCATGTTATCATGTAAGTCTTTACCTTCCCAAATGCTATAGATATGCGCTTGTTTGCTCTTCAACCATCATCACTCCTGTCTTCTCTTTTGTTTGAGTGAAGGGCCCTTTTCTGGGCCTCATTCTCTTGTGATTTAAGTTTTATGCGTGTGTGTCTGTGAGACAGAGACAGAGACAGAGAGAGCAAGAGAGAAATTTATGATAATCATATAAGGGAGAAAGAACTGATGAGCACAAAGATATGCCCCTAGCCAACTTTATCCATATGTAGGATAAATGGCTCTGTGTGCCTGTGTGTGAACAGTGAGAAAAAAGGGCAAGGATGAGCAGGATGGGATTCCCCTGCATATCCACAGAGCTCTGTCTCTTCTTCCTCTGCAGAATCACCTACGCCTGTATGATCCTGATGACCATGGTGATGCGTCTCACCAGCACTGATGGAGAGGTGGTCCCCATGTCCTTCGCCCTTGTGCTGGGCTGGTGCAATGTCATGTACTTTGCACGGGGCTTTCAGATGCTGGGTCCCTTCACCATCATGATCCAGAAGGTATGGAAAATGTGGAGGGGGACAAGTCTTTTCCAGTGGTAGAAGGGGCTTTAGGGCTCCCAGGGCACATAATGAGTTCACAGAACAGAGGCATTGGTGCGACAAGGCTTTTTTGATGCCCGTTTCCTCAACATAGCCTGAACATCAAACCAAGGTAGTGCAGCATTTCTCCATGACTTGGTGAGAGAGAGCCAGATCTCATGCCCACTGTTCCTTTCCTTTTGCTCTTCAGATGATATTTGGAGATCTCATGCGCTTCTGTTGGCTCATGGCCGTGGTGATACTTGGCTTTGCATCAGGTAAGACTGCAGCTGGCAAATCTGGCTATGCTGTCTCTTCTGTTTTTCCTTGCTTCATCTGGACATGGTCCAGTGCATGCCACAGCATCCCGGCAGGTGACCCTCTGAACATGAGCCAGCTAGAGCTGTGGTTACACGTGGCTTCTGTTATACGAGGCATGATTCTAGGTCTCTTTTCCTAGTGCTGATTTCTGCTACATCACCACTTGCACATCATGAATTGCTCTTATGGCAGCAGTGGTGGAAGGCACCAGCTAGGAGCAAAGGCCAGTTGTACTGGTGTCTGCAAAAGCACAGAGAGATAGGCAATGACTGTCGGGAAGGTCTCATGATCTGGGAATCCCCACACTGGCCCTACCTCTGATCACAAGACCCTCTTCCTGCCATAACCTTCTCACTCTTCCTCTCTTTCTAGCCTTTTACGTCATCTTCCAGACTGAGGACCCGGACCGCCTGGGTCAGTTCTATAACTATGCCATGTCCCTGTTCACCACTTTTGAGCTGTTCCTCACTATCATCGATGGGCCTGCCAACTACGATGTAGATCTGCCCTTCATGTACAGCGTGGTATACTTTGCCTTTGCCATCATCGCCACCCTCCTCATGCTCAACCTGTTCATTGCTATGATGGGTGACACCCACTGGCGTGTGGCTAACGAGCGAGATGAGCTTTGGAGGGCACAGGTGAGGGCATTGCTGAGTTAAATCGGTCTATGGGGAGTCCCTCTGGGACACAGTAAAAAGAGCAGGCCTCAGTGAAAGTGGTGAGTGGTGCAGTGACTTGCACCTACACTGCAAGGAACCATGGCCACATCACTGCTGTCCATACGTGGATCCACTGCCGGGGGCCTCCATTTGTTTCAGAGTCTGCTTGCTCCACTCCCTACCCCATTACCTCCACAGCATGGGCTTCCCCAGCCAAACTCATGCCCTTGTTTTCTGCGTGTTGTCTCAAGGACCAAACTCCTTCAGCCCCTTTCCCTAGTCTGGGCACATTTGGCATGAGAGTTTTCTCCTCTGCTGCTCCTTCCATCTGGAACAGTCATTCTGCACATCTCTGCTTCATCAACCCCCTGCCTTATTTCAAATCCCATATGGAAAAGATTCTGCCCTTTCTTATCCATCCTTTGTGTCATATCCCCTGCTCAGGTACTCTCCTAATAAACAGAATTGTAGCTGTATTTAATGGTGTTAACTTCTTGGGTATGAATGCCATCCCAAAGCGATTTAGAGTTAAATACAATGATTATAGAGATAAACAGGAGGCTCAGGAGGTAGGATGACAAGTTAACGAGTCAGACCTACGATCTGTTTGGATCCAGCAAAAGAAGCTGCTATACCCCTTCTGGATGAATGGTTGGACCTAGGACTGCCATTTGATGTCTCTTGCCAGACCAGTGGTCCATCTGGCCAACTGTCAACCTTCCCCCTATCTTGCTGAGAGATGCTAAACAAGTTTAATGGTTAACCTTAGTCACATGCTAGTGAGGATGTCCTGGTGGTACTGAATATGCTGACTTTGCTCACAGCTCTGACGTTTGTGTAAGCAAAGTGGCTTCTGTGCCTTAAGTGAATGACCTCTCCCTTGCCACCCTGTATAAGTAGGAAGAAACTTTCTCTTGTTTGAGCAAACCACAGCAAAATTAAAGCTGAGAAAGTTGGTTAGCTGTGTTAGTCTGAAGTTAGGCAGAAGGCAAGGCAGGGTGGCACATTATATATCAGATTATTTAGAGAGGCATATACCTTCATAGAAAACAGCCTACTTCAGCAGGTGTTATGAAAGCTGTGATAAATTAAATTTAAAATTTAAGCTGTAATAGTAAGAGTCCCTTCAGTTTGTAGCATATAGATCGTGCCTCTTTTCTCTATATCCTGATAAACCATTTCCAAAGTGAAGTGTTACAAACATTGTTCCAGGTTGTTTTTTTTTCTAACTCTCTTTGTCTCTCTCTGTACTTGGGCAGATTGTTGCCACAACAGTCATGCTGGAAAGGAAACTCCCGCGGTGCCTCTGGCCTCGTTCTGGAATCTGTGGTCGGGAGTTTGGGCTGAGTGACTGCTGGTACCTGAGGTGAGGACCTCTAACCTTGGAGACCAGGAGCTCAAAAGGGCCTCTAGGGACAAATATGAAGGAGCCTCACTGCTGTCCTTCCAGCCCTGGAGGGTATCAGCAGATTTGGGCTGACAGAAGCACTCCCCTGCATCCTCCCTGAGACACAGCGCTGATGATCTATGTGAAATGAGCTGCATCCTATTTGGCAGGCTCCGCAGGAGTGCCAAGAAATTGAAAGGGCCACAGAGCCTGAATTGCATCTTTCACCCCCCTCCTATTCTGTGTCAGGAGCAGTGTGAATGGTTGGGAAAGTCTGTCCCTCTGCAGAGCGTGTTAGTCTGTGCAGCTATCAGTCTAGTAGCTATCCCTGGCAGCGAAATGAACTTCCAACATTGCAAACACCGAACAGCAGTAACACAATGGAAGGGACTGTTAGAATAGGGCACTAGGGTGTAATGTGATGCAGCAGAGTCAATGTATTAAGCTTGTGCATCCAAAGGAGACTGTATCAGGCAGGGAAGAGACCCAGCAAATCATTTAGATCTAATTCCAAGCAGCACCCCCACTGTGTGGGGTTGCTGAGATCTGGGATTTGGTGTCAAGCCCTGTACAGAGAATCAACGTGCCTTGGGTTGGGATAAAAACAGGCCCAAGTTTCTGCTCATGTATGCTGGTTTTGTATCTGACCTACCCCTGTGTGGGAGCAGGCTCAACCTACTTCTCCGTTGTATGGAGTCAGCCACGAGGGGGAGCAGCTGCCCTACGCAATGGGGTTGTTGGTAGGTTTCAGCAGGCCAGGAAGGCTTGAGGATTTCAAGTCTTCCAGGCAGAGTTAGCATCAGGAATGCAGCACCAGTGGGAAGTGTTTTCAATTAGAAAATGCAGTGTAACGCCCCAGGACTGCTGCCCAGCACAAACTCCACTCCATGCCACTCTAGGCTGGGGGGAAAGTAATAGTCACATATGTAGTCTTATCACATGCATGGGCGTGGTGAATAACATGGGACAGCACTTCAGAGGGAAAGACGGCAGTCTGACTCATGAGAAGGAAAGCTCCTAGGCAGAACTAAAGAAGACAAGTGAAATGGGAGCAGGGCGATTTCAAGTGGATGGTGGGCAGGGTGGTTTCTGGAAACACACAACCACGGAGCATTAAAGAGCAGAGCAGAGTACTGAGCCAGGAGCAGAAGAGAGTACTGAGTAGGTATGGGGAATAGAGTAGCTGTGGAATTGAACATCAACACAGAGCAAACATGAAGAGCCAGATTTTGTTCCACTTACTAGGCACATATGTGGATGTGATGCCTAAGAGCAATTCTGTTCCACCCCGCTTGAATCCCTGAAAAACTGCTGATGCAAAAGACGGGTGTGTTCTTTTCCTCCTCCACACTGCCTTGTTATGACTCAGATTTAAGGGTCAGATGGTGGTGTGTTACAAAAGCCATTACATTAAAGGCTTTTCAGGAACTAGAAAAGGCTGGAGCAGAATCACACTTAGGGGCCCAATTCCACTTAGCTGGCCAACAGGTAGAATGGAATCAGGTCCACAGCATCTAGTGTGGGTGAAAGAGAAGGGAAAAGACATGGATAGAAAATCAGACAAGGGGATAGACATCTCAGGAGGGGAGAGAACAGGAAGTCGGTGAGTGTGAAAGAATGGGCTGACACCAGTGGAGCTCCCTGGGGAAAGCATTACCTGCCCCAACATGAATTTGTGTTTGGAGAGATGCAGGAAGAGCGTTGCCGGGTGTAACTACTCCAGTTGTCAAGAAGCTGGTCTATGTCTGCTATATTCTGTTTCTTTTCACCCTACTACAGGGTAGAAGACCGGGTTGACCCCAACAAGCACAAGATGTTCCGCTATGCAGATGCATTTAAGAGCCAGGAAAAGGAAGAGTGTGACAAGTACTCTGAGAAGCTGGAGCTGGATGAAGAGTTCCCCTGCAAGAGGAACCTCACACCATCTGCTTCATCGGTATCCCGAAGCACAACCGGGAGCAGTTCCCACCGTGGCTGGCAGATCTTGAGGCGCAGCACCTTCAGCCAGTTCCGTGGGGAAATTAATCCCAGCATGGAAGAGGAGGTTTACCATGTCTGAGGCATGTCTTTTGCCCACGTGACAAGAATGACTGCTGATACATGCTGGCACCCCTGCCTATCAGTGGACACTTTCACATGCACACCATGATGAGCTCTCTCAGTTCATTGTGCACAGTCCACACTCCGGCAAAGAGCTAATACCATCAGCTCAGTCTTCTCTCCCCCTACCCTTCAGATATTTTGAGTACCGCACTGATGCACAGCACCAGTTTGGTCAGCCTGCTGAGCTGAGGTGTGGGGGATCCTTATCCAGTTCTATAACTCTAGAGTAATAAAGGAAAACTGGGTCAGCGCTGAAGTTGTATTCACTTCCAAGAAATTGTTACTGCAGTGAGATGAAGAGCTGGTCAACAACTTTCTTGCCCTCCCTTGCCCAGTCCAGCAAAGACCTCAGTGCCTTCTGAACTGAAGAGAACTGACAAGTTGTTTTTTCATTTGATGCAGAACTAAAAGCATTATTTAAACTCAGGAAAGAATAGCTGCTGACATTAAAGTGATTAAAGGGACTGTCACTAGTCAACTGGCATTCAAGAGGTTGCCAGATGTTCCTCCCACAAGAAAGACAAACCCTATTAGCTGCATTTTCCACACTGCTACACTGGGAGGTACCGGATGGTTTGATTTATCTGCCACATTAATGCAGTTTGATGCTGTATCACCTACAGAAATGTGATTGTTAGTTAGATATTCTCTACGGGTATCTTGAGGCACCAATTCTGGGAACTTTTCCCTGTTTCAAGGGTGTATGGGAACTGATTGGGTGACATCCTGTGGTGCATGTCCTGTGGAGATCCCAGGTAAACTGAATGTGGGCCAGGTATAGTATAGAAAAGCAGATGTGTGAACAATTACCCAATGGCCCAGGGTCTAATGTCTGCTTGCCATCTGCTACCTTTGCTATGTCAATATTGTAACATGCTTGGTCCTTCTCTTTCTGAAGACTGTGTACTTATGGACATGCAGTAGTGAGGGATATCCATTTCCACTTCACCCCTTCCTAAGTCACAAGGTTGTAGCCCAGTTGTAGTGAAATGAAATGAGGACCCAATGCTGCACACAGCACAGTGGAAGGGATTGCATAAGCCACAAGAAAACAAGCCACATGTCTTCTAACAATAGCTTGCCATGGATGCCTGGTCTAATAGGTTCAGTTCTGTTTCACCTCCTGCTTCAGTCCTTTGTCAAGGCTTTCTTTAAAGGAAAAATAACTAGATGATGTGGACCACTCTTCTAGAGGCTCTCAGTCCCTCAGCATTTCACAGACTTAACAACTCATGACCTTACAGTGCCTCTCTACTAGGACCAGTAAGAGAGGTCTGTAGAAGACCCAGAAGCTTACATCTATAGGTATATCAGGACCTTCTAATACTTCCTGACATTCAGAAACCAGCAGGGAAGGATGCGAAATAAGTGAGTTTCCTGTTATTGGTGTCATTTCCTCCCTCCTTTAAAATATCCCATGCATGGGACTGGGGGAGACTTAGGTGCCACAACCAACTCCATGGGGTTGTGCATTTCATTAAATATACCTTTTTCTTACTTGAATGTGTGTTCAGTCCCAAGGATGGCAGCACCTCCCTTGGATTCCGCTGAATATTACAATGTGATTCACTTTGGTGAACTGGCATTGTGTTGGTTGGTCTCCTTTACATTTCTGTATTCTCAGACCCTCCTTTCTAACCTCAGGGGTTTGTGCTAAATGTCGGTGGAAATGGGAAATATGTGATTTTGCACATTTGCCAAAACTGTGAATTGCTACTGTAATTGTAGTTTAATTTTCTTTCTTAATGAAATGGGAGATGGCAGGAAAGGAGGAGTTTGTGGGATTTTTTCCAAATCCAGCTGGGCTTTTTAACCGGTTAGAAAAGTGCCTGAAACACAATTACCATGTGGTCATTTTTACAAACAGGCTCATCAGTGTGATTGGCTCTATTTGTACATGAAGAAAAAAGAGAAAAAAAAAAAAAGATTGTTCCAAGTTTCAGCAATTCAGACTTAGGCTCTGAACATCCAGCTCTACTCTTTTTGTCTCTGACATCACTAGGAATGATGATTCTGGCCTGAGATTGCATCCTGCAATTTGCCAGAGTGAGGTGGAATAGAATCCGGCCTACATCCCTATATGTTTTGCAGGTTTCTGAATCTGCTACAGATACAAAAGCACCTAGCAAGAAGATGCTCTAAATGAGAAGGTGCCTTCTTTTCAGAGTTACTCTTTTAACCATAAGCATAATGTATAGTTTTAGTGAAAGATTATCATCCAAGTTCAACACAGAGAGAGAAGGAATTCAGTGTTTTTACTACTGTAAACACATTTCATACATTTTACCTTGAACTGTCCTCTGGGTAACATTGGCCAACTGCCTCCTGTAGTTGGACATTATCATCATGGGATTATCATCCCAGGACAGTTTCAGTAAAGTTGTTGGATATTGCATAGGTGCAAATGACAGTAGATATCAACTAGTCATGTGTACTCATACAGTCTCAATAGCAAAAACACATTACTAAATTTGTTGTCGCTGAGGACAAGTAAAATGTCTGTGGGTTTCCCCCATGTCTTTTAAACTTTGCCTATAAAATAAGGTTGCAACATGGAGCAATATGATTGGCTTTGAGGCCTTTCATGCTGATATTATCTAGAACTACTTCACCTCATCATGTCATCATCTCCTTCTTCCTTTCTTGTATTAAAAACTCTCAGGGCAGGACAGTGGCAAAGGGAGCTGGGTGATAAGGTATTATAGTGGTCTGGAAAGCATTGGTGAAATATGTAAGGAACACTTTAAATGGGAAACATTTTTAATGACCTGATTTATGTCATTAAAAATTATTTATGTAATTGAAAACCTGTATAACTGCAGTTCCTTGGTTTTAAGAACTCACCGTTCTCACTCTTTATATGGACCTTATTTTGCAGCTTGCATAGGTTAAACAGGAAAGCCAGACCCATCAGTTATATTCTGTCTCTGGCACTAGTTCCCTGCTAGTGGTTTTGGACTTCCAATACAGGTTTCCCTCACTTAATGCGGTACATGCATTCCCAGAAAACTGTGCATGAATTGAATTTGCATAAAGGGAACCCAGTTTATAAAGTAACAAATAGGGATATGTTCCTGCGGCAGTGAGGGAGGGAGGGAGAAAGGCTGGGAGTAGGGAAGGGGCGGGGGAAGGGGTGCGGAGCAGCCCATTGGCCGCTCCCAGGACAAGAACAAGCTGCTGCTGCAGGCTGAGGCTGGTGGTGGCACCAGGTTCTTCCTGGTACTTGGGGCGTGACCAAGTTCCCCTTGGAAGATGCTTTCAGCAACTTTTCATTTCAGTAAACAGTGGAGGGAATGTCAGGACTTCACAGAAATCAGGCTATATTTCTTGCAAGGCCATTAAGTCACTGTCCAGGTCCAGAATCTTGCTTAATAGGCCTTCCTTTCTCCCTTCGTCTTCCAACAATTGACCTCAGACTACCTTCAAAAGCCACCGAAGCAATTTCAAGGTTTTAAGATTCTTTGTTATGCTTGGAAAATTAGTAGTTGGGAAAATAGCTCTGAGTTGAAATGGATGAGCTATTTTTGATGTGTCATTGCTCAGAATGAAAACAGAAGGATTTTGTTGAAAATAAAAACTTGCATACGAATAATGTGTGTTTGTCGTATTCTTTTCCCTTTGTAAAGCCAGTAACACGTGATAGTTCCTGTGAATGTCTCCACATCCTGCAACCTGTCAAACTTCCAGAGTACTCAACTGTGTGTTGTTTATCATGGCTTTGGTATTTTATACCCCAACAATGGAACTGCATCCAGTTGAGAGATTGCTTGATAATCATTTCCAGTGGCCCCCTTCAGAATTTTGAATAAAGTAATGTTTCTTATAAATTAGATTGCAAACACTGTAGAAAAGGGGCCATGTTTTTGCATCTGTGAGTAAGAGATCATGTGGCGCAAAGGTGATGTTATCCTGATTGCAGCCTTGGGCCCCACCTCAAATTTGAGCACTGAGCTCTTTACTTAGTTTTATATCTGTAAAATCTGGCACAAACAATGCTGGTCCTCAAAAGAAAAGAATGGTTTACCTTTTGGATTTGGTAACATCTGCTGAATGTGTTTATGTTGCCACCCCTCTGTCTTGGTTCAAGGTCTGACCTTGCTATTATTACTCATTCAAGGAACTGCATTGACTTTGGTTGCCAGGAAAGCTGTCCCACCCCTAATGAATGGAATCTCAACCCCCATCAACTTCTATTAAGGGGCATTAAGCACCCTTACCCAACTGAGCCCCATATGGAGGACTGATGGCAAATATTGCTCTCGCCTTTCTGAAAAAATACCCATTGATTTAAATGGAAGTAGGCTCAGGTCTTCATATCAATACTTGTTTGGTTTTTTGTTTACACTGTTTCCTTAAGCTTGTACACAAAGATTATGCATTGCCAACTCAATACAGCAGATACCCTTCACAAATCTTTCACAGTACAATCAATACAGCTAACAACTCCAGCAATTTTAATTCACTCATATTTTGTGTAGGATATATGTATTTGGGCATGCATACACGTGCGTGTGTGTGTATATATATATGTGTGTGTGTGTGTGTGTATATATATATCTATATATATATCTATGTGTGGGTGAGTATGTGTGCTGCAGCATCTTAAGTGGCTGTGAGATCCCTCTAAAAGTGCTGTGGGGTGTTGAACAGTGTTAGCACTGGTAGGTGTGACCTACACAGTATTCAAACAATAGACCCAGAGATTTCAAACAGGAATTCAGGGGCATTTAAACATGTGCTCTGGGAGGTGGGGTGCGCTTTAATAACAGTGGCTCCAGAGCTGCTCTAATTAAAGTGCTGGGAGCATTATGTATCAGTGTCCCCACACTGAAAAATGGCAGTGGGGTGTAAAGCTTGTTGAACAAGCTTTAGTTATAGAGCCCCCACCAGCATGTTTCAGTGTGGGGATGCTAACACATGTGCTGCTGGAGTCTGCTGGAGCACAGTAATTACCACACTCTGTAATTACAGCACATCGGAGCAGCCTCGATGCACATGTACAGGTGCCACAGAGTGTCAAAAACATTCTGAACTGAACTGTTGTGATCTTTCTGGGTTTTTTTGCAACAGAAGAATTCCTCTAATATTTTTACATAGGCAAAAAATAAGTGAAAGCTAAAAATCGACTCTTCTGGAACCCAGGTCCAGGACCAGATTTTTAGGTCTCAGCCCTGGGACTGCACCTGGAGCTTTGAACCAGTTCTCCTGCCATTTCAGGGCTGTGACCAGAAAATCAGCTGATTTACAGTCTTAGCCCTGGGTTCCCCTATGATGTATATTTAGATTGTAGTAAACATTAGTTTGCAACTGCTCAGATAAAATTTTAAGTTGTATTAAAGTTTACTACACTCTAAATATAACACATACTAAGTGTAACATATAACAATACCATAACAAAGGGTGCTTTGAGAACCGCTGATACAGATACAAAGCTATAGATACAAAGGTATTTCTTCCTTTGATTTTTGTAAAGTCTTTTCACATAAATAACGTTTAAGAAATACCCCAACACTTAAATAAACCTCAAAATGCCCCTGTTTACAATACTTGGGGGCCATTACTCTTGTCAGCTATTGTGTTCTTTTTCACCTTTCGAAAGACAATATTTTATTAAATGTACACATTCCCAGAGTTCTTCTGACAGCAAAGACACCCTTCTCCCTGCCCAGAGTAGCATACTTTCTGAGTTCAGACAACACATGATCAAGGACTCTAAGCAACACAGGAGGTATGTCTACCCATGCATAATCTGGAAGCAGTTTATTCTAGAGTAAAGTATTCTAAAGTAAACTCTCCCTGGCAAGTGTCTACACGTGCAGGGACACAGGAGCAGATTTGCTGCTCCTAGCAGCAGATTGCTTCTGCTTCCTGTGGCACTGCCACCAGTGCCTGGTGACTGCTGCAGCAGTCAGTGGGAGCTCTAGGCTCCCCTGGGTGCTATCCCAGGAGTTGGAAGGGAGCATGGGGCCAGGAGATAGCTGTCAGGGACATTGCTTCCTGTCCCTGGGAGCTACCTGCTGCCAGGGTGGGCTCTGCCACCAGAGCCTGGGCAGGGACAATGTCTCCCTGCCCCAGCAGCAGGGAGCTCCCAGCCTACACTCTGCAATTGTGGGGCCAGGGCCGGGGCTGGGAGATCCTTATCTCCCAGTGCCAGCTCTGCAGTCACAGGGTTGGCATGGGAAGATGCTTATTGCCCTGTATCAGGTCTGTGGTTTCAGGGCCAGTGCCAGGAGATAAGGATCTCCCAGTGCCAGCTTCACAGTTGCAGGCCCGGCACCGGGAGATAAGGATCTCCCACCCCAGTCCCACGATCATGAAGTGAGGCCTGGGAGCTCCCTGCTTCTGGGGCAGGAGGACTTTGCTCCCAGTGTCAAGGAGCAATCTCTCGCCCCCTGCTGCCCGGCTGACCGGGAGCAAATGTGTACCCTATCAGGCATGTACACGTACACTACTGCATAGCAAGTATTCTCAAATATTTTTTTACTAGCATTTGCAGGTAGCAAATTTACTCATGATTAGAGCCAGTTATTGCACACACAGTAAGTATCTATATGTTTAAACAGTGATGCTTACTGCACAGTAATTAGCTCTAATCTTGAGTAAAGCACCTTGTGTAGATGCACCCAGGGAGTGGTTAGAAAAACAGTAGGCATCTTCCCTTTGCTATCACTTCCTGTTATGTTGTTCTTTAGATGCTCTTCTCCTTCTTCCCCTCCCTCTCTCTCTTGTGCATTATTTTGTTTCCATTAAAAGATGAAGACCTAATTTAAACTCGCCTGCAGGGTCACCTCCCTCCTTATGTATTAAATCTATTTGTTGGCCGCAGCTCTTGGTAAGTGAAGGAGATGGATAAACCCAGCCTGTGCCCAAGAGCAGAGCAGAGTGGGGAGAGAGGTTGGTATAATGTTCCACAAGCATTTGATGCCGAAAGCACCACAGTTAATGACTTTGTACAATCTGTAGAGCAATGGTTTTCAACCCACGGTCCACAGACCCCTTAGGGTTTGCAAACTGTGTCTAAGGGGTGTGCAAAAAATTACTACGATCAATCAAAAGCATGTGAATACCCATACTTACAATTCAAAGGGGCCCACACCTCCATTTGTGATTTTTTTCATAGATTTCATAGATTTCATAGACATCAGGGCTGGAAGGGACCTCGGAAGGTCATCGAGTCCAGCCCCCCGCCCAAAGGGCAGGAAGTCAGCTGGGGTCATAGGATCCCAGCAAGATAAGCATCCAGTTTCATCTTGAAGGTGTTCAATGAAGGCGCTCGCACCACCTCCGGTGGCAGGCTGTTCCAGACCTTGGGGGCTCAGACAGTAAAGAAATTCTTCCTTATGTCCAGCCTGAAACGATCTTGAAGTAGTTTGTGACCATTCGACCTCGTCATCCCTTGGGGCGCTCTGGTGAACAAACGTTCCCCCAGATGCTGGTGGTCACCCCTGATAAACTTGTAGGTGGCCATCAGATCACCCCTGAGCCTGCGCTTTTCCAGGCTAAAGAGCCCCAGGGCTCTCAGCCTGTCATCGTAGGGTCTGCTTCCCTGACCTCTGATCATGCACGTGGCTCTTCTCTGGACTCTCTCAAGCTTCTCCACATCCTTTTTGAATTGTGGAGCCCAAAACTGGACACAGTACTCCAGCTGCGGCCTCACTAAGGCCGAGTACAGGGGGAGAATGACGTCCCGGGATTTGCTTGAGAAGCATCTATGGATACAAGCCAGCGTTTTGGTCGCTTTACTAGCCGCCGCATCGCATTGCAGGCTCATGTTCATCTTGTGCTCAACGATGACCCCCAAGTCTCTTTCTTCCATAGTGCTAGCCAACATAGCTGGGCTATGATGCTCGCCAGCTCCTTGAGTACCCTGGGGTGAAGATTGTCAGGGCC